AGGCTAGGGGCTATGACCTCCAGGCCAGAGAAGCTGGGAGGGAGAGTCTCAAGTGAGCTGGTACCTGGAGCCAACATTCCTGTGCTCGGGATGGTAGACCGTGCAGAGGCTCTCAGCAATCCTGTGGTCAACTGACTCTAAAAGACCAATGGGATCTCAAGGCCAGCAGGTAGCATAGTGGTTATGTTGCTGGATTCCCACATGGTTGATTGCAGATCGAGTCCTGGATCCGGGTGATTTCAAACTTATGTTGGCGTGTGTGCTAAAGATTCTGGGAGGAGAATAGAGGAGAAGGGATTGCAGTGTGGCCACCCCTCCTGGGGGGGGTTGATTTTTGACTTTCCCTCTCACCGTCTCTGTGTGTGTCTCTCTCTCTGTGGTGAGTGCACGTACCCTAAGGCACAAACCAAAAAACAAAAACAAAACAAAAAAACCTAACAGACAAACAAAAAAACCCCAAAACCAAAAAAAGACCAATGATATCTCAAGTCCTATCCAGAGGGAAGGTCCCAGGGACAAATTATCTCACGGGGGACAGGCCCTGTGGCTGCATCTCCCACTCTGGGGCGATTCTTCAGAGCAGTGAACATTGACGGAACCACACTGAGATGTGCCTTACAAATGACTCTCAGCTTATAAGGCCCAGAGTTTTCTAAGCAGGAGCCACAGTTTGGAGGGGAAGCTTCTTAGGGAATGTTCTCTGAGATCCTTGGCATCAGTGTATGGCATCAGGGATTTCAGGGCAGGGCAACGTCATGCAGATTTGTTGAGCACCTACTATGTGCCAGGCTCATGGTGGGCACCGAGGGCATAAAGATGGGTGGAGCAGCATGTTGAGGAGAGCAGCACCAAAAGGTGTTTCATCATAAGGCAGAAGTGCTGCACAGGGAGATGTTCAGTGGTGTAATGGAAGCTCGGAAGGGGACATGTGGCCCAATCTAGACTTGTTCACATCTGTCATTGTCTTAAGTATAAAGCTGAGGTCTGAGGTGTGGTTGGGGTCTGGGGATCTGCCCCAGGTCACATTTAGGAGGCAGCAGAACTGAGACCAGGGTTACTTGTCTCCTCTTGCTTAGTCAGAAGGCCATTTCCAAGCCCTCCTCCTGCCTCCAGGCACCCTGCCCCAGGATTCCAGCGTGGGAGTCAGAATTGCAGCCTGAATTGTGGTCCAGGAACGGGGTGGGTGAGGGGCCGGGAGCAAGGGCAGCCAGTTCTGTGTTTCCTGATTCGCACACTACCTCCCAGGTCAGACTGGGGCACAGTCTTTATGGACCCTCTGAAGTTCTGCTTCATTTCCCTGCTGATCTTTTGATGGGAAATTCAGAAAAGATGCCTGTGAGGAAAAGCCATCAGAGGCAGAATTATTCAGCTGGGGAAATGAAGAATGTGGGGGATGGCTGCTCTAAGGCACTGAGCTAGATACTTCATGTTCATTCATTCTTTCATCGCTGGCTTCACTTACTGAAGAAGTACTTGGTGTGCTTACTGTGTGCTAGACTGTGCACGAAGCTCTGGGGATAAAGTGACAAGCCATATGAAATATGGTTTCTAATCTTATGGAGTGTGCACTCCAAGGGAACCAGAGTTAAGTGATCAGTCAGAATTATGCATTGAGATAAGTACCCTGAAGGAACAGATGTTTTATGAGACCTTAAAGAACCCAACCTGGGCTGAAGAAGTAGGACATGAGGGTGAGTGATATGACCTTGGTGCAAATGGAATGGGGCAAGAGCATTCCATGCAGAGAGGCCCTTGTACCTGCAGCTGCTCTTAGCTACCAGCAACCAGTTGGCATGGGTTCGGGCTCCTGGAATGTTCTGCATGAAGCAACCTCCTGGCCCCACCTCTCTTGCACTTCCTAACTCTCTTGCCTGTGGGTGAATCTGTTCCAGGATTGGAGAAGAGGAGGGAAAGGGGGTTCCAGAGAAGGGTGGAGTGGTAGGAGCAGACACACCTGGGGACAGGTGGCTGCAGTGGGGTTGGCGCTGAACATGGGACTGGAATGAGCAAGAGGGAATCAGAAGGGGCTTTCCTGCCTCGTACACTCGATCCTAGCCGTCCAGTGGGCATACAGAGGAGGAAACTGAAGACTCAGATGAGTGAAAGAAGCAAGAACCCACAAATATGAATATGTCCTGAGGTCGGGCGGAGAGAGGAGCTGGGAAAGAGGCAGAAAAGGAAGCATTTTCCATATGGAAATCTGAGTCTGAAAACTTGAGAAAACTGGTTGGCCCCAGAGATTGGTTTTAAACCATGACAGAGGTGAACTCAGGAAATCAGATAACTCACAAAGACCCCTCCTGCTCTGGGTTCAGGGAAAGCGGAGATTGCATGGGAGGGCTTTGCTTGTTTCTACCCTCTGACTCGGAATAGGAGGGGGTGGCAGACAGACCAGCTGATCGGGGAAAGGCTGGAGTGGGAGAGGAGAAGGAGGAGGGAGCAGGAAGTGGCAGAGCCATGCTAGGCTGAACGACTATGGCCAGGCTGGCTGCCCGCCCTCGGGCTGTGTCCTGACAGCGTGGTGGGAATGGACACTGCTGCTTCTCCCTGGGTGAGAGGTCCTGTTGCCCGAGCTCAGACTCCCAACTCCTTTGAGAACTCCTCTGGCTTTCTGTGGTTTAGGAGTTGAAGGGCAGTGAATGGACTAATGTGACTGATGCCTGAAGAACTTGGCCATCCTATAGCCATCTCAGCATTTCTGATCTACTGTCGCATCAGCCCTCTGTGCAAACTCACGCTCAGTCTTGTGACCTTCATCCCAGGTCACTGTTTTAAGGCTGGAAGCAGTTAATGGGGACTCAGTCTTGCTAAAGGCAGGCAGGCCAGACAGGAGTCAGCTGCCATGGATCCCTGGCTTGACACTGTCCTGACTATGGGAGCAGGTGGTGTGGCTCATTTGTCTCAGCTTTACTGTTGGTAGAAGGGGTACATGCACTTTTTTTACAGGGTGAGGTATTTACCCAATGTGTGGGTCAGGGTCCTGGTGGAAAACCAATGGCTCATTCTAATGGGGCCACCAAGGAGAGTTCAATGGATTAGGTAACAGACTGGGCAAACCAATGAGGGGCGGAGAAGTATCCCCGTGTGCTCCGTAACAGGAGCAAGGAACCATCCCCACCCCAGACCTAAAGAACAGGCAAAGAACTGGAGGGGAGGGCCCCTGACTGGAGTTGTGGCTGTGGGTAGAGGGATGCAGTGAGGGGCACCTTGACCTTCTTTCATTCCCCAATATCATCTGCCAGGCCTTCCTACCAGTCAAAGGCCAAGCTGTCTGGAGCCAGAGGGCAGGGATATGGGTGATTCAGGAGGTAGACGTTGGCCTCTAAGGATGCAGATTGGAGTAGAGAATAGAGGACATTTGTGGGTTGGAGGACAGGACAGACCTCCATGGTGTCCATGTAGGTTTTAACTTGAACTCCAGGGAATGAGAAAAATGCACTTGTGCTTTTTGGGTCTCATTTATGTACCTCTGTCTGGGCAGGACTGGAGGTAAGACCCATGCACCTATTAATGGGATGGAGGTGTATTAAGGGCCTGGTGTGTGCTGGGCACTGTGTGGAGCCCTGGGAATAAAGACCAGCCAGGCAGCTCTGGTCCAAGGAGCCTGTGGGTGGCCAAGGAATGATAGGATCCTCCCTGCTATTTCTGGGTAGGAGAGAAGGGATGCTGCATACTGCTGGGATCCACGTGAAACTGTATTGAGTGCCTGAAGGGGTGCATACAGAGTTTTCAGAGAAAATGACCCAGGGTGACAAGGGTTAGGAGGTAAGGGTGAACTCTGCCCTTGGGTCTTGTTTGTATTTCTGTGAGTGGAGGCTCCCTCTGATGTTCCTTCTGCCAAACTGGGTTTGCACCTCAGGGCCAGGAGTAAAACTATAGCTCCCTGATTGTCACACAGTTCTGACTGTAGTGGGAAAGGGCAAGCTCTGGGCTAGCCGGGCTGCCTGGGTTCCAAGCCCGACTCTACCACTTGTTAGCTATGTGACTCGGGCCAGGTACTTAATTCTCCAAAGCATTCTCTCTTCATATAATGAAGAATAACCCGATGGGGCTGGCTCTTCTTTGACTGATGGGTTGGAGTTCTAGGCGGCCAGCAGTGGGTATCCCTAGGAGGCTATGTGTCCTCTCTGGGCCACCCAGAGCCAGCACCGTGAGTCTGGACATTGGTGCTAGTGTCTTTGGCTGCTGGTTGACAGTTTGTTCTGGGGCAAGTTGTTCCAATTCTGGACTGAGGAGACAGGTTAGATCAGGGCTCAACCAACTATGGCAACAGGCCAGATCCCAAACACCGCCCATTTTTGTAAGGAGCATTTTGTTAGCACACAGCCGTGGCTGTTCATTTACCTATCGTCTAGGAGTACTTGCACACAGCGGCAGATCCGTTGTTATGACAGAGACCGTTCGTGCTAGTCTATTTTGTTGCGAATGCAGAAAGTACCCAACACTGAGTGATTTGTTAAAATAGAAGTTTATTCAGCTCATGACTCGGCGGTCCTAAGACACAGGGCATATCTGGTGGACTCTTTCAGAATCCCAGTCACTCACAAGGGCTAGAGTAGAGTGGCGTCTGTGAGTCCCTCTGTCTTGAAACATACCAGGAGTCAGTCGTGGGGACTCTACCCTGATGACCTTCATTCGAATTTCTTCCCAAAGCGCCCGTCTTTTGATGTCATAATTGGATCACGTTTTCACACTGTCAATCCCATTAGAGTGGCTTAGTGTGTGAATTTGGAGAGGGGTGCATAAACGAACCGTAGTGCTATCTTACTGTATGTACTCATGGGTTCTTTACAAGAAAGTGTCCTGTATCCTCTCCCTCCAGCCTGGCCTCTGGGACCGATGGCCCAGAATCAGTGCCTCTGATGTGAATCTGGGGCTTCTGTGCGGTGGGTGGGTGGCCTGGGCTGTCTGAGGGATGTCTTGCTGGCCTTTGCCTACATGGACTCCAGCTTTGGGTGCAGAGCTGGCTGGTTCTATGTCACCCTATGCCTGGTATCTTGGTATGTGGAATAGACTGGTCCACGCCTACCTTTTTGCAGGTATCCCTGCACACCCCCATCTTTCGCAGGCCTCCAGGACCCCGTCTGTAAAGGGTGACTTTCTGGAGGACATTGTCTTGTGTCTGGGGAAGCCTCTGGCCCTGGGTGTAGGGTGTCCAGCCTGGGAGGCCACTGCAGAAGGCTGTGTTCCTATGTGGTGAGGCCCTGCCACACTCCTTAACACCCTGGTGATGAGGCTTCTTCCACATTGAGGTTGTCCTTGGGCTGGTTTCATTTAGCAGCCTGGACCCAGCCCTCTTGCTCCCAAGGGACCATCACTCAGCAATCTCCCTAGGGCTGCACAGACTCTGTCCTTCAGTTTCTCAGGCTGGTATTAGCTGGGTGAGACAGGGATGGTGCCAGGTTTGGAGGTGGCAGCAATGTTATCCATCCCCACTCACATCTGTAGAGAAACCAAGACCGCCTGCTTTTTCCTCCTGATGAATATGGAGCTAGGATTGGGGCTGGCCCCGGAGGCTGAGGGGGAGTTGGTGTTGGGCTGGGAGTCATTTCCCCCTCCAGGCCTCAGCGTCCTCATCTGTAAAATGGCATTTCTGGCACTCACCACCCCTTAGTCTATCCTGAACCCTGGTGGGATAATGTATATGCATGTCCTCCATAAGCTGCTCAGAAATGCCAGAGGTGGGCGTTAGAATGTCCAGCTTCACAGGGAACAGGTTCCCTGACGTCAGTCTCTGCAGGAGGACTAAGAGTGCCAGGCAGAGGTGGGTGGGTGTGTCTTGGCGTCCAATGGGCTGTTGAGTCCACAGTGGCTGGCACTGGGCATGACTCACCAGCCCAGGCCAGTTGCTAGGCCAACAAGCCTGTTGCTGGATTCTGGGTGTGGGGAGGAGCCTGTATGAACCCTGGCACTGTTCTGAGATCTGGGAAAGGCTGGCCTGGAGCTCTGTGCCTGCTGCAGAGCCTCGGATTAGAAGGGAGCCTGGGGATCCTGGAAGACTTGGGTGCCGGGCTGTAGGGTCATTGGAGAAAAGGAACAGTTAGAAGGCTGCTGGCTAGGATAGATGTCCTAGCTCTTGGAGAGAAGATTCTGTGAGGGCCCTGTTCAAGGCAGTCTCTAGGGCCCTTTTCTGGGATGCTCTGAGCAAGGCCCTGGTTAAGGGCTCCTGTGGGGAAGGGGTGGATATGGGAGGTCAGGACACCCAGGGAAAGTGTCCTTTGCATCCTTTTGGGGCTGGACTCTGGGCAGGCTGTGTTGCTGGCAGGTCGGCTCGGTGGGGGTAGAGGGGGCGGGGGGAGGTCCACACTGCCTGTGGATATGTGCTCAGTCTATGTCTCCCTGCCTCTTCCCGAGCCCCGGAGCTATGTGGAGTCTGTGGCGCGGACAGCAGTGGCTGGACCCCGAGCTCAGGACCCTGGGCCCCACAGCTTCAGCGCCCCAGCTACCCAGGCCTACGGGCATGAGACACCCCTGAGGAATGGGACCCTGGGCAGCTCCTTTGTCTCCCCGAGTCCCCTCTCCACCAGCAGTCCCATCCTCAGTGCTGACAGGTAAGCCATGGAGGGGAATTGGTCAGGGATGGGAATCCAGCCTGGGGCAGGATAGGTGAGGCTGCGGGGATTTGTCTCGGGAATGGATGGGCAGAAATGCCATCAGATGACAGACCTCTTAAACTGCTTCATCAAAGCACATTGAGGGGCCGAGTCCTATGGGGAGCCCAGATGTGCATTTGACTCACCCATCCCAGACTGTGGGAAGGAGTGAGGGGTACCATGCTGAAGAAGGCGTTGTCCTTCCCCCGAGGTGAAATAGTACCAGCAGAAATGATCACTATGAAGCGATGCTTCCATGGGGCCAGGCACTTGGCTGAGTGCGTTCTATAAGTATTGAACCCTGCAGCCATCCTGGGAGGTGAGCACCATTGGTGTTGCCACTTTCCAGAAGAGGAAATTGAGGGACAGAGATGAAGCAGCCTGGCCAAGGCTGCCTCCCTGAGTCCACCTGGCTCCTTCCCAGCCTCTGGATGGGGGGAAGAGGCTGCATTGCTCTGTCTATTCTGGCGGAGAGATGTCCTCTGTTTGGGAGATCTTCATGACTTGCCCTCAACGTTCTGCTGACTCCCAGTGAGCGCTGGTGGTCCAAAGTGGTTCGCTGTCTCTCACTCAAGTTCCTCCTTCTGTGGTGCTGGCCCTTGTCAGGACTCAGGGAGCTGGTGTTTCTCCCCAGGATTAATCTGCCACGACCCCACTTCGCTGTCCCCCCTGCTCAGCCTGGGGTGTCCAGCTTTATCTCCCATCCCTCAGAATCTAGCTTATTCCATACTGGAAAGTGGTGGTCTGCTCCGGCCCCTTCTGGGATCCAAGGTAGACTTTGTCCTGTTTGACTTCTGCCCTGGGCTCTTGCTGGACCCAAGAGTGCACCCATCACTCAGGGAACCAGAGCTTATCCAACTGACCTGGGGAGGGGCCAGCCAGCACCGAGACTCCTTCAGCCTGCAGCCCTAGGGTGGCCCACTAGTTGTGCGGGGACCCCTGCTGGTGCACAGCCCACTGCTACCTCCCTGTAGCTCCAATTTATACAAGGCTCCTGTCGACCCTCATGATGGGTAGAAGTTTTGGGGGGGAAGAATCAGAGCCTCATTTTCCACATGGAAAACATTACCAAGCAGAATCCAGGTTTCTCAGCTCACAGGCCATGGGCTGCCATGCTCCCATGTGTTGGTCACCTGGGCGTGTACTTAGCCTCGCATGGGGCACTTTGATTATGGCTGTTACCGGGACATCCTCTCTGAACTGAATGTCATCCAAGTTGTAGAATCACATCTAATCCAAACTCCTCTCACAACATCAGAGCGATAGCTCGGTCAACTTCTGCTTGGATGCCCCTAGGGATGGGAACCTCATTACTGTGCGAGGCAGCCTGCTCCACTGGTGGCCAGATACAAAGACTGGAAAGCAGACCTGAAAATGAGCTGAAATCCCCTTTTTGTGGATTCTTTGTCTTTGTCTTTTTGGAGTTATCCAGGAGAGAAAACCCAATTCTAGTGCTCTCAAGAGTTAAGGATGATGATGGGGACCAGCAGTTAGCATAATGGCTATCGCTGGACTCCCATGTAGTTGACCGCGGTTCGCGTCATGGACGCGGTGGCTTAAAACTCATTCCGGGTGCATGTGCATGCGTGCCCAAGATCCCGAGAGGAGAATGGAGGAGAAGGGATTGCGGCGTGGCCATCCCCCCCTGGGGGGGTGATTTCTTGCTTTCTGTCTCTCTGTCTCTCTCTGTTTGTCTGGCGAGCACATGTACCCTATAGCATTGACTATGTGTTGAAACAGATTCTTCTTTTGGGCTCCATTAGTATTCAGAAGTAGAGGCCTAGAAATTAAAAGAATATTCAAGCAGCTCAGTGAAATAAATACATAATGAATTTAAACTGCTTCTAATAATGTACACAAAACATTCAATTTAATAAGCGAAAAAAATTTTCATTAAAAATATACAAGGAACTAAAAAGTGACTACATATTTGGAATAGAAATTGGGGAGTCAAAATATCTAATACTTTAATTCTCCATGCTTCTGTACTATTTTTTAATAATAAATATGAACTACTCTCTCCAGTATAATTCACTGCCTATTGAACTATACAACCTACATGAACTGTAATTACACAATAAACTATAGTTAGCTAATATCATTAAGAACAAGTTAGTGAAAAACAGTTAAAGTCACAAAGCTCTAATCATAATAAAACTTTGCAAAAAATCTCAGTCCCACAGATAATCTTTTTCTCTTTCCAGCAATTCCCTGTCCATTACTATCATGTTTTAGTTGTGACAACGGTAATTACTGACTTAAGCATCACAATCCATAGCTATAACATATAGATTTCGAAAGTCTCTAAGTAGGGGCCAGCAGGTGGTGTGGTGGTTAAGGTCCTGAACCTGGTGGCTTGAAATATGCCAGTGCATGTGTGTGTGTGTGACTCAAATCCTGAGAATGGAGGAAAAGGAACTGTGGCATGGCCATGTCCCCTTTGAGGTGGTTTCTCTCTCTGTCTCTCTCTTTTTGTCTGGCGAGCACATGTACCCAATAAAAAAAAAAAAAAAAAAAGAATTTAAGGATTAAGGATGATGAGAGCGCACCTGGGGAAACTGAGTCAAGGTGGGATTACCCCCCAGGAGGTACAAGAGCCAAGTGCTGTGACCCCTCTCCAGTGGGAGTTTCTGTGATGCTAGAGGCTGCTACAGGAAGTTGTAGCCTCTGCAGTTTCCATGGGAGGGATTTCTTTGCTCGGGTGTGTGTCTCAGAAGTCAGCATGTTGCACTGGAGAACATGTGGACTTGGAAGTCAGACAGCTGAGTGAGCTGGAACCCTGGCCTTTTATGAGCCGTATGCTGCTAGGCCTACTGCTTTAGCTCTCTGAATCTCCGTTTTTGTCTTCTGATGCATCCATAAAGTAACAAATAAATGCCCTGATACTCTGATGCACTGTGAGGGTTGTGTTATTAGTGGGTGTTATTAGTGGGTGGAAGGAGGGCTGGGCACCCATAGAAAGTGTGCCCTTAATTAAATGCTGTCCATTGACATTTCAACCTGTGTCTCTCCTCAGCACTTCCATGGGGAGTTTCCCATCAGGAGAGAGCAGCGACCAGGGCCCCAGGACACCCACCCAGCCTCTGCTGGATTCTGGTTTCCGCTCCGGCAGCCTGGGGCAGCCCAGCCCTTCAGCCCAGAGAAGCTACCAGAGCTCTTCTCCTCTCCCAACTGTGGGCAGTAACTACAGCAGCCCCGACTACTCCCTCCAGCAGCTCAACTCCTCTCCGGAAAGCCAGGCCCGGCCTCAGTTCAGTGCAGCTGGTGTCCACACCATGCCTGGGAGCCCTCAGGCACGCCACAGGACAGTGGGCACCAACACTCCCCCTAGTCCTGGCTTTGGCCGGCGGGCCATCAACCCTGGCATGGCTGCCCCTGG